ATTCTGGTGACTGCACTTGACATGCACATTTACTGGCGTAAAGTCAAAGGTCACTCTTGCGCACCCGGTCCTGAAAAGGAGTTGAACGATCTTGCAGACTCTTTGGCCAAACAGGGCGCGACCGATGGTCCCCTGTGGGTTTTCGAACCCGGGTGGCTTGAGGGACATGTGTGGTCTTTCCCTGATGAAAACCAGGTGTGTGTAGTTACTCGAGCTCGGGCTGCTAAAGCGTCCGACTCGGCACCACCCAAAGGTGCGGTGGCCGTTCAACCTGCCTATTCGGATACCGATCTTGTCAGTCTTCAATCCCGGGACCCTGCTATCAGCAGGATGATCAAGTACATTTCTGATCCTAAAACCCAGCTACCGACTTCCGTCGAGCTTGATTCCGTTCCAGAGCTTCGCTCTCTCTTTCGTGTGCGGTCCACGCTGAGAGTCGTCGAAGGGCTGCTGATGCACGCCGCCAAGCCTCCTTCGCCGCCTGTCCTTGTTATTCCAAAACCGCTGAGGAGGGGCATGATCTCGCAGGCTCATGACTCTCCATCCGCCGGTCACAAAGGCGTCAAGGCCACGTTCGGTGCCCTGTGCCAGGTTGCTTATTGGCCGGGGATGCGTCGTGATATCTCGGACCACGTCGAGCGTTGCTTGGTTTGTTGTCAGTTTCAGCCGTCCAACCCTAAGCACAGAGCTCCCCTACAAGAAAAAGGGCCGACCACTCCGTGGTCGGACTTGCAATTCGATTGGGTGGGGCCTCTGACCAAATCCACCAGGGGGAGTAAGTACATACTGACTGTCACCTGCGCATTCACCAAATGGGTTGAATGTTTGCCAGCTCCTGATGACACGGCTAAGACTACAGCGGTCCTCTTGCTGAATCACGTTTTTGCCCACGAGGGTCGACTCGGACAGGGGTACCCATTTCACCTCTGACGTGATGAAACATCTTTGGGATCTGTTGGGTGTCAAGGCTAAGTTCCACATTAGCCACCGGCCCCAGTCCTCTGGACAGGTCGAAAGGGTGAACCGCACGGTTATTAGCATGTTAAAAAAGTACGTGAAAGCTAACCACCGAGATTGGGATATGAAACTTCCATTGGTCCTCATGGCCATACGCGCTACCCCTCACGAGTCTACAGGTGTCTCCCCGTTTGAAATGATGACGGGCAGACAGATGACCCTACCGCTTCACCTGCTGTATCAACGACAGGTTCAGTCCGACACAGCCCCGGCGTGTACGAGCGGCCAATACTTGCAGGACCTGAGAAATCACCTGCTTGCAGTATTCTCGTTCACACAGGCGTCTCTGGAAAAGTCAGCTGAAGGCAGAAAAACTTATTACGATAAGAAAGCCTCACATTCCGAACTCGATGTAGGTGACCAGGCCTGGTACTACATTTTCGCTCCCAAAACGGGTAACAACAATGCGACCTCGGGGAAGCTGGCTAAGAAACTTTTGCCCAGATGGTCGGGTCCATACCTGATTACAGATAAGATCTCTCCGGTCGTGTATCAGATCAAGATCGCCGACAAAAACAAGGCGCCCGTCTACAAATGGGTACACAGGGACCATATCAAACTGCACAAGGGTCCCACAGATTTGGCCGATACCGACAACAACAATCCACCGACTTCAAAAGGGGGGTGATGAATACGTCCCGTTGGTTCCACAGATTTCTATCTCTGATTACATAAATTTGTTTGTTTGTGAGTGTACATGGTTGTCTTTCCTGTTATACGTCACATGCAGACTTAAGGAGTGTTGAGACGGACGTGCTGTGGGCTCCTGGGATCAGGTAAAAGGCCAGGTAACGGTGAGTGGGTTAGGTCACATAGTACTGTGGTCCAAAATTTTGTTTTTTAATCTTTACTAATCACAATTCCTTAGGGGTACATTAACATGGACATGATTACTAACCACTGATTTACATTTTAGTACTGATTTACATTTCTGTTTTTTTATAGTACCTTTGACCAGTTGACTTTGACAGTGAATATTATGTTTGTGATTGTCAATTCTTTGATTTATCCTACGGGGCTATAACCAATTTTGCCCTTGTCCTGACACAAGTATTTACAGTGAGGATTCACTGATACTAGATAGGGTTTCTTTCATTTTTCTGCTTCTCGCATCATCCCTTTTTGCATCTTACACAGTCAGGGCTGCATCCATTTCTTCACTTAATGGGTAATTACACTTAAAACTAACACATAGAACAAAAGGCACTCATAGAGTTAGGTTTTTATTATTTTTATTTCTTTGATGACATGAAATGCACTTTTGTCGTGTCTACATTGAAGTGCCTACACTGTGCTCTCTCTCCTCTGCTGAGCTTGTGAGGATCCTGCGTCCTGGGGGTGGATCCGTGACTCGTCATCTGCATCGACTACTCCTGGGTGGTGCTCCGGCTCGTTGGCCTTGGATGACTGTGGTTCCGGCATGGCTGCTGGGACACCTCATTCGTTGGGATTACTGTCAACTGCTCTTCCCTTTTTGTGGATTACGATAAGTACTCTTTCAAAGTTCAATTTTTATTTGGAATATTACCCTGCCTGCGGATACAACAATCGATTTTTAATTGGAATACTACCCTGTTCGTGGATACGTTCAAGATTTGCTCCTGCTTTGCTTTATTGCCCGTGGGGATAGGACTTTGCTGTTGCTTCGTTTATGGCTTCCATGGGGAATAATTAATAACCTGCTGACTTGTGTTCTTCCTGAGGAGTATGCGAGACTGTTCTCCGGCGGGGGGTTCGTGCCTCACCACAGACGGCTGTTCCCTTGGGATCGCATCCGGTTCCGTTGTCAAGATTCTTCATAACTTGGGTTTGTTCAACGACCAAGTGGTCTCTTGAAGGACCACATTGACCTTGAAAAGGGGGGATATGTAACGTTATGAAGTTCCTTGTTTTCAACTCCATACAGCTGACCCCTGTGCACAATAACACCGTGTAGAAAAACCAAGGTCGGGTGTTCCTCAGACTGTTTACATTCCAGGAGAAGAGTCCGAAGGAGAAGAAGAAACTTTACTTAATCAAAGTACTTTATTTGTGATTAAAATTATTAAGCAAAACAGATGTTGATCAACAATAATCAAGTGAATGATCTGTGAAATAAATATGTCATGAATTATGTTTAATGAAAACAGGACTACGGCACAGACATACTGATCCTCATCTCCATAGAAACGCATGACACATTGTTCCAACCAATCAGAGCTTTCGGCTGCCGCAGGAGAATCTGGTGTTGACTTCAAGTGTCCAATCCACTTTACTCCAACTTATCAACAATTCAGAGATATAAAACAAGGCAACGCCATTTTTAAGTCAGTTCCATTTTGACTTCAGTTCTATTCACCGTCATCCTAAAGAAAAACGCAGCCTGGCCAGATGTGTTTTCTTCTTTAAACTAAGAACTGTGAAGCGGGAGATTTTTGTCGTTTAACAACCAGACGACGTCCTTTCAAAATAAGAGCACCTGCTGACGCCGACGAACGGTACCGGGGTCGACCCTCCAGACGGGCTTTGAAACGTTGTGATCGCTGCACCGACAGCTCCATCGTACATCCGAGGTCTCCAGACCTGGCATTTCCTGATCTACCTGGGAGACCCCCACTGGGTACGTACACGGCAAAATAGCGGCTCATGTCATCACTTTATAAGCCTCGTGATATCTAGTCATAACAAAGACGACCAGATGCTTTGACGTCAGCCTAGAGAATCTGAACCAGACACACACACACACACACACACACACACACACACGCACCAACACAACATCCGAATCCATTCTCATCCATCACAGAGTAGTCCTGGTAGATTGTTTAGAATTTATAATTCAGAAATTAAAGATTCTCAAACGATCCCATTTCTCTCTCTTTTCTTGTCTCAAAGTCAATACAGAGTGTTTAATTAAACTCCCTGATGATAAAAACAGCCTATTCTTCTGTTTATAAAAAGTGAACTACCTACAGTGTATTAAAATACAACTTAAGATAGAGACATCACTTAAATTCCGTTACAACACTGTCCCTGCTTGAATATCCAACTGAAATCCCACCATCTCCAACTCAACCTCTCTAAAACTGAACTACTTGGCATCCTAGCAAAACCATCCATAAAGCACAATATCTCAATCCAAAATGACTTCCTACCTCTGGCTCCTTCAAAGGCAGTTCGAAATCTGGGTGTTGTGATTGAAGAACACCTGACCTTTAAAGATCATGTTGCCTCTGTTGCTCGTTCATGCCGCTTTGCGCTGTTTAATGTATTAAAGATCAGACCATACGTAACACAACATGCCACCCAGCTCCTGGTACAATCTACTGTCATCCCCCGCCTCGATTATTGCAATGCCCTTCTAACTTGTCTTCCAGGCTGTACTGTGAGACCTCTTCAAATGGTCCAGAACGCAGAGGCGCGCCTGGTCTTCAATCAACCAAAAAGAGCACACGTCACACCTCTGTTCATTGAGCTCCACTGGCTACCGCTAGCAGCACGCATCAAATTCAAATTGCTAACACTAGCAAACAAAGTCCGAGATGGTACGGCTCCCATCTACCTGAATCCTCTTGCAAAGGCTTACGTCTCGGCCCGGCCGCTCCGGTCATCACAGGATCGTCGGCTAGCAGTGCCTACACCACGCTCAGGACAATCCAGACTCTTCTCATGCATTGTTCCACAAATGTGGAATGACCTTCCAAGCACTACCAGAACAGGGGCTTCCTTTTCAATTTTCAAGAAACTCCTGAAGACCCTGCTCTTCAGAGAGCATCTTCTTAACAAGCACCCTCCCTGCACCCGCACCCCCTCTCTACTGTCCACTTCTTGTTCCCTCCTCTCCATGATTGATATCAAGTTGTTGTTGTTATTGTTGTTGTTAGCCTCAAGGGCAAAATGCTGATTATCACTTGTAAGTCGCTTTGGACAAAAGCGTCTGCTAAATACAAAAACATAAACAAACATAAACATAACTGAATTATGGCGAGAGAGAAGACGGTTACCTGGCTGCAGTTGGCGAGGTGGGCTTTTAATCCGGACACACTGGAGTATACAGCTTCACAGTTCTGGGAAAACAGGACAAAAACAATCGTGTAGAAACTCTACTATAGCTGGTGCTTCGTGTAAAGAAAAATCTAGGCAGATGTATTTTTAAGGTGAGGAGCTGGATAATGTCCTTACTGTGTTGATGCAGCAGATGAAGCCCTTCTCCTTGACCTGGTTCTTCCAGGACTCTAGCAGCTCTGGGCTGAAGTTGGGAAGGCCGGGCCGAGTGTAGTTTAACTGCATACAAAAAGATGATGATACAGATTGCATCAACCTAACAAATACATATCTGTGCAGATTATTTCAACATGTCCCTTTAGCTGAATCTACTTGTTGTCCTCACCCTCTTGCTGTCAGGCACCAGGTCGTCCTTGATGCGCCGCTTGGTTCCCCAGTCTTTGGCCAGCTCGTCCTCTGCTATCTCCTGCAGGTGGAACACTGCCACCTGAGCTGACTGCCGCCTAACTCTGCCACTGGGGGTCCTTTCAAAATCCTCCCCATGGCTCTTTATTTGTGCTGTTTTGTCCTTCTGCTGCTCTCTCTCCTTTCCCAGCTGCTTCTCTTTGGGCTGACTGGATGGCGCTTTCTCCTGCCAGTCCTTCCTCTCGGGGGAATTTGGCTCCTTCTTCTTGCCTCCTGGCACAGACTCCTCCTGGAAAAGGAGCAAGGGATCTTACTAAGCAGAAAATGAGAAGAAACCGTTGATAAATCATATCTAATGCAACAGCATCTTTTATGAAAGCTCCTACTTACCTTCTTGCCTGTATTGTTGTTGGTATCGGTGGCATTGTCCTTGTAGCTATTGGTGGTTGGAGTGGCGATGACGGTCGGGTGGTGCTCGGTACGTACGTGGTAGTCTTTGCCTGCCTTGGAGCGGTAGTTCTTTCCACAGTGCTGGCACAGAAACACAGGCTTCTCATGGTCAGAAATATCTCTTCCACAACGCTGCTGGTGATACTGGAAGCCCATCAGACTGGAAAAGTGGGCTGAACAGCCCTGTGTACACGTGTGTGCACACGCATGTTTGCACACAAACATTTTTATATGATGACGTGACAACAGTAACAAAAATGAGACAGAATGAAACACATTAGGCAAGACGCCAGGTTAGTGGAATAAATGGAAGAATATTTGAAAGTAGTAAAAAAAACTAGCCAATTTTAAATGTGTCAAAACAATAGAGAATTATGTCGGGCAGCTTTTCTTTGGTCCAATTTTTGTTTCCCAGTGTGGTGCAAGGACAGAGTACTGTTGTAGTTTTTGGGCTCCGTGTCGAGTTATAAGTGAAGAAAAGATAAGACACTGACTAGAGGTCGACTGATATTGGTTTTTCTATCGCCGATACTGATGTCTAGGCAACGCAGTCAGCCAATGGCCGATATTTAATCACAATTTTAACTTTTCCCATGTCTATGACATATTTTTGAATTATTTTAAAATCCTTTTCGATTTTTGTTCTTGTGAAGTGCCTTCTGATTTTTATTTTTAGAGGAGCTATATAAAAGAGTGTTTCTTCTTCTACTGCTGATTTTTATGGGCCGATTTTGTGGCCAATATCTAGACATTTTCCACCTTATTTTTATGCTAAAATATCACAAATAACATCAGCTGATGCACAAAGTTTCTGGAGCTAAATTTGTTTTTGAACTTTGAATTGAACTAACTGTTAAATCTCAACTTTGTGCACTTTGTGTTAAAATCAGACACCTAAATAAAGTTGATTTATGCAGATGTTAATAGTGAACGTACATATAGACCCCTTATTTGTTTGCAAACATGGCGGATGCACGCGGATCACGTAGGCAGAAAGAGACGCCGGCCCTAAGACAGTGTTATTTTCAGCGGTCATTGTGTTGGAGATGTCGTATGTTGTTAGCTAGCAATGTTTTCAGCATACTACAGCAGTTTGTCACCAAGTCACCAGAAGGATTATGCAGTAAAGTTAACTTCAGTGAATGGGTAACAACTTAAAGACCCCTACGCATTACATGCAGGTGAGTGGATAAACGACGAGACAAAATTCTAATTAGTTAATTAGAAATGAGTTAATATTTTTAGGTAAAGTTACTGAGTCGTTGACGTTATAACTTGCCCCTTGAGGATCCAGAGCCACAGTTAGGAGACCTCTTCATTGTTTGCTCTTCCACTCATAGTATGTGGAGTCATGCCACTTGTTCAGTTACAATAACAACAACACATACAAGCAATGAAACGTGGTTTACCGCCCCACTTTTCCTTTGCCGTCATTGTCAGACTGGGTAGTGTAGGGGAAGATAGACGGGACAAAGTCGGGGCTCAGATGTTTCTCTTGTACAGAAACAAGTATTCCAGTGACTTTATGCTGCGTTAGAAGCAACTAGCAGTGACTAGCATGCCGGAGTCTCTACCGTGGTGTTAATATAATGCTATCACCATCGGTTGCTACCAAAACCCTATCCTACCTTTGTTAATCATATCCAAACTCTTTTAACCTTTTCCTAACTGTCTTAACCGTATCCTAAGTGTGTTATGCCGATCATATGATATGACATGATAGCAGCTCAGCTCAAAGCTAACGCTTTCTGCCTAGGACATGCACCGTAGAGCGGAATGTGAGAGTTGTGACGTAGGCTGATAAGGGGTCTATACATTTAAATTAAATTCTGCAACAGCACCGGGCTGCCTGAGAATGTGCCTGACCTTAAACCGCCTTTACTAACAACAAAAATTGGCCGATGCTGATGTATAAAAAAAAAGGTAAATATTGCCCCGATATATCGGTCGATTGTAATCTTGGATTACCCCTAAGACTGATGCAAAATGGGAGGAAAAAAGAAATAAAAATCAAAAACTGGCAGTGTGGACCAAGTTAAGTGAAATAATAAAAAAAGCTACATGAATAAACAATGAGAATGAAAGGTGAAAAAGGCCAGACTAGTGTAAAATCAGAGAGAGGGATCGAAGGAAGTGAGAAGGAGGCCCATACCTCACTAGGACACTTGATTCGCCCCATCTGTTTAAGCACGCGGCGCAGCCGCTCCCTCTCTTCATGCTTGCTGTCCTTCTGGCCTTCGCTCCCTGAGGGCTGAGGGACAAACGCATCATCACTTAAGCAACAACAATAACACCACCTACACTTTTGCAACTTCAAGAAAAATATATAGAAATGTGTTTTCTACATCTTTGTGTTTGCACTCTGCCAGGATCATTAAATGATTTCACGGCAAGGCTGTTACTCAAAAGCGTGTTAATCACTACTGTCAAACTCGTGTTTTCACTTGAGTGTCGCCTGTGAAAGTGTCGTGTGCCAAACGCAGCCAAGACCAGAACAACAGATGGCGAGGCTGCCAGGGAGGAGAAGGAAGTGCAAGGGACTAGAGAGAGAGAGGACTTGGTGAAGGATCCCAGGGGAGCACACCTCACATCTCTACTCATGTGTTGATGCATAAAAATGAACAGCCCACGACTTTGCAGGAGCTAAAATGTAAAGCTGAAAAGAAAATACCATTGTAGCAAAACAATAGAGGTCATCAAATAAAATGTCTCAGTAAACTCAATGAGATGGGGGGGTGGTGAGGTGGGGGGGTGGAGTGAGCTAGAAGTAGCAGCATCAAGGTTAACCTCACTGACTTGTCTGTCAGGCTGCTGTTTCCCCATAATGCACTGGGGCTTAGCTACACAAATAAAATACAGGGAGCCAAAATTCCAATCCAACTACAAACCATTCAAACCAGCAGCAGTGGTGTGTAACCAGTGCAATGCGTTTAACAACATGAGAAAAGAAAAGTTATTCAACGTTAGTCTAAAATAAAAGGCTGGGTAGCCCTAACCCTAGTCATACTACAAATACTAGTAACACAAGTCCTGGTTGTTATTTTCATGCAGAAGAAAACATTGTTCTGAATAATTCATTCATATTGCTGCACACTCAGGTTTAAACACACAGCTGGTCACAAGGAGACAGGTTCATAGACTGTTTCAGGGAACTCCAATCAGACTTATGAAACAAACATCACTGTTGAGACCAGCCTTGAGCCTGAACGACATCTTCAACATGATCATGTTCCTCAAAACACCAAAGATTTCATTTAAGGAATCTCATGAGGAAGAGGTTGGATGTTTCTTACCTAAAAGCCAATGTTTGTTGTAATGTATATGAATCCCAAAACAAACTACAGATTTACAAACGTGCTTTAAAAACTCATCCTTCCACATTTCCTCTCCCCGAAACACTTTGGTGTTTTCCTCTGAAAATGGGAAGGGGTCATTTTGATGCTGCGATAAGTTGATCCCCTTCTATTTGGTATTATGTATTTGTCAATAAACTTTATTTGGCTAATGAAGGCATGGTGTGGGTGAGCCCACAGAAATGGTGTTTCAGGTGGTCTGATGGTTCTGAGGCGTTATAAGACAGCAGTTTTAATCTCAATGTTTGACAAATGAGATAGACATTATTATCCAACATTATTATTACATGACATTACATAACAACCCCTTTTGCCCAAAGTTGATAATAAAAAAAGCTAAATATTATATTTTCTTGGCTTTTTTATATTTTGAGATTGAAGAGATGAAGCACATTATACAAATAAAAACATTAAAATGTGCCTGTAAAATACAATTATAAAAGTTAACCGATACCAATGCAGTTGCTTGAAAGTAGCTTCACTGTAACTTGTCCTTTTGTTCACCTAATATTTTAGTTGAGTGATAATTTCTATTCATATATTTTACTTGCTACCTACTTCACAGTCTTTTCCTGTTAAAAGCAGAGGAGAAAATAAAACCTGTATTCCAATTCATATCATTTATTTGTGTGGTAACAGAAGTATCGGTATCGGCGAGTACTCAGATCTAAATATCGACATCGTATCGGTTTGGAAAAAAGTGGTATCGTTGCATCCCTGATCCGAAGCATTGCCAGATGATATTTCCAGTGATTTTAAAAATCATTCACAACTCAGAACCCTCTTGAGTTCACTGGAGCTTTTTGCTTTTTCTGCTCACTTCTGGTATTTTTTTCTAACATCAGGAAGAGTCTTCTGAATGGACCGGGGCAATGAGAGGGTGTGAGAGACACTAAACTGTGTGAATCAGATACAGATGGCTTAAACATTGTTGTGATAATTTGCACTCCATTGTTGTGATATAATCACTTACAACAACCACCAAGAGAAAAGAAAAAGTGAAAAATTAAGTATTTTTTAGGAAACACCCTGAAGCTTTAGCTATGACCTCTTGGACATTAAATGATTATTTTGTAAATTTAAAAATATCGTAGTTAAAGAAAAACACCAGATCAAAGTTCTTTACATCTTTCACTTTGACACAGTAAAAAATGTTGTTACATCAATTAGTTTTGAAGGAAGTCTACCTGCCAAATCCCTCGAGCATCCTTTTTAACACATAATTAACACAGAAGCATTCTGCTCTCTTAGACGGGAACGTTGCCAGTTATGTGTGGGTACAAAAAAGTCCGGTACAGAGATAAATAGCAGCGTTAAACTGGTTAACTTTGCTCACACAATCATCTGTAATTACTACTTAACTGGCAGAAATCACACACACGCACGCACGCGCGCGCGCACACACACACACACACACACACACACACACACACACACACACACACACACACACACACACACACACCAGGTCATATCAGAAACACATACACACACACACTAGCCACAGAGTTTACTGCCTGTAGACTCCCTGAATTTTTTATGATTCCTTTACAAACAGGCAGCTTTGAATTATTCAGCAAACTTCAATGCCATGGCGTTTCTCTAATGCAGAACAGTCATGATAATATCTCAATGAAGCTCATTGTTGTCAGACTTAAAAAGAACCTACAACGAAACACGACTGCCCAGAAAAATGAGAACACATCATCAATCATTGATTTTTTTCATCTAAGACCAAACTGATAGGTTCTGCAACACAACACTGTTTCAAGGATTTTACTTTATAAAGACAAACATACATGTGCCAAGTGCTTTGTTGTGGGTTAGATCTACTGTTTAGTAGCTTAGTGTGACAGCAGAGAAACAACAACATTCTCATGATCAATGGAACATTTCAGAAAGCGTACCTTGGTGCTGTGTTCAGCCATGGTGTGGTAGTTGAGGCCGGCCTTGGACCTGAACTGTTTCTGGCATTGATGGCACTTCAGGGCATCCAGGAGCTGCCGGGGTCAAAGGTCACACAGACGATCACATTTCATTTCTCACAAACAAAAACAAACAAGCCTTGCTTTAACTTTGACCCTTCTATGAAGCTATAGTTATTGTCTAACCTAACATGTATCCATGTACCAGTGCAACAATAAAAACTAAACACGCATCAAGAATCTAATCTGACCTGGAGAAATACCCACGTTAGTGCTCTGTGTCCCAGACTTCCCCCTGGTGTCAGTATTGATTTGGAGACAGGGGTGTTATGATGGCGAGTGACCCCGTGGTAATGTGGTGATTCTGTCATCGCTTAACGGTGGACTCTTGCTTTAATAGAGTTGGACAGACCAATGAGCCAAGGAGCCGCTACAGAGGCTGTATGAGCACATCCCTCTGTGGACCTGGATACCTGGTCCGTCCACTGGGACAGCTCAGTTTAACGTAGGCCGATAACCTTTCTCTTTGTTTATTACTCCTGTTGACCACAATCTCCTGACAGTGCGACTGGAGCAAACTGTTTACAGGGGTGTACGATTTCCCTCCCTTGGCCCCTTTCAGCTGGTAATAGATTTCAGATCAAAAACAACGAAGGCAGATATAACGACAAAAACTGGTAGAAATTTCTGTACCGGCTGGAGATCCAGGCTGATTTTATTTATAGCGTTTTAGTCAATATGTTCTCTGAAACGACTCCCGTGACTCTGCACAGTTAGGTTCTGTAGTCTGACTGGATGATGTGCAGCAACACACCCCTCGTGTTCCTGGTCTGTTGGTCAGCTGTGTCCCACACCCACCTTTTGGCAGATTTCCATGTGTTTCTTGAGGCCTTGGATAGTTTTTCTTGTGACGATGGAGCACGTTGGACACACAACTTCACCTCGCTCTGAGATTGTTCGCTGCCACTGAGTGTCAGAAATGCCACCTGGGAAATGTGCCCAAAAAATTAATCTGCTAATCAAATTGTATAATAATAATAATAATAATAATAATAATAATAATAATAATACATTTTATTTAAAAGCGCCTTTCAGGACACCCAAGGTCACTTTACACAAAACACGTAATAAAATACAATAAAACAATAATAAAACCCAAAGAAGAAAAAACAAAGAGAGAAACAGTTGAATAAAATCAGAGGTCGTAGGCAGATTTAAACATGTGTTTTGAGTTTTATTTTGAAAAGGGTAAAACTGTCGACGTTCCTGATGTCTGGGGGAAGTGAGTTCCAGAGTCGAGGAGCAGAGCGGCTGAAAGCTCTGCTCCCCATGGTAGCGAGACGGGCAGAAGGAACCGCAAGATGGATGGAAGAAGAAGATCTGAGTGAACGGGATGGGGTGTGAATACTTATAAGGTCTGAGATATATGGAGGAGAGAGGTTGTGGATTGCTTTGAAGGTATGAAGGAGAATTTTGAAGATGGACCTGAATTTAACTGGGAGCCAGTGAAGCTGCTGGAGAACCGGCGTGATGTGGTGAAAGGAAGGGGTTCTGGTGATAATACGGGCTGCTGAATTCTGGACCAGTTGCAGTTTATGAAGGAGTTTGTTGGGGAGACCATAAAGAAGTGAATTGCAATAGTCGATACGGGAGGTGACGAGGCTGTGGACGAGAATGGCGGCAGTGTGAGGGGTCAGTGAGGGACGGAGACGGTTTATGGAACGTAGATGGAAGTATGCTGACCGAATTAAGTTATTAATGTGAGCCTGAAAAGAAAGTGAGCTGTCGAGAATGACACCCAGACTCTTGACGTGAGGTGAGGGGGAGACTATGGCGCTGTCAATAGTTAAAGAAAAGCTGTCAGATGTTGAGAGGGTGGAGTTAGTGCCAACTAGAAGAAGTTCAGTTTTATTGCCGTTGAGTTTGAGGAAATTAGAGGTGAACCATGATTTGATTTCAGAGAGGCAGAGTGTAAGGGAGGATGGTGGGAGAGTTGAGTTGGGCTTACTGGAAATGTAGAGCTGGGTGTCATCTGCAAAGCAGTGAAACTGGATATTAAATTTGCGGAAGATTTTGCCGATAGGGAGGAGATATACTATGAAGAGGAGGGGACCCAGGACAGAGCCCTGGGGCACACCTGACTTGACTGGGGAGGGTTCTGAGGTAAAGGATTTTAACTGGATGAACTGAGTGCGGCCAGTAAGGTAAGATTGAAACCAGCGGAGGGGGGTGTGAGTGATGCCTAAGGAAGAGAGTCTATTGAGGAGGATGGGATGAGAAATGGTGTCAAAGGCCGCACTCAGATCGAGGAGAATGAGAATAGAGATTAAACCAGAATCAGCAGCAATGAGTAGGTCGTTAGTGATCTTGATGAGAGCTGTTTCTGTGCTGTGGTGGGGACGGAAGCCAGACTGAAACTGTTCATAAAGGTTATTGCGGGTGAGATGTGAATGGAGCTGAGATGCAACAGTTTTCTCAAGGACTTTGGAAATGAAGGGAAGATGGGAAATGGGACGGAGGTTATTGAAATCATTGGGATCTAAACCAGGTTTTTTTAGAATAGGGCTGACTGAAGCGGATTTGAATAGGGATGGGACCGTACCAGAGGATAGTGAGGAATGAATAATGGCTGTTATAAAAGGGAGCGGAGAAGAAAGGCACGATTTAACTAAAACAGTTGGAATAGGGTCCAGTTGACAGGTGGAAGGTTTGGATTTGGTGATGTAATCTACTAGTTCTGAGGGATGGGGAAGTTCAAAGGAGGAGAACAGAATGGAGGGTTCAAATAAATCAGGAGAGGGAGGGGAGGAATGAGGTAAAGAGAGATGGATTCTATTGACCTTATCATTAAAAAACTGAAGGAGAGAGTTACAGGTTTCTGAAGAGTAAAGATGGATGGGTAAGGAGTCGGGAGGCTGAAAAATGCTGTTCATGATGGAAAATAATGTTTTAGTGTTGCTGGAGTTGGACGAGATGAGACCGGAGTAATACTGAGATTTGGCATGGGAGATGGAGTCCTTGTAGAGAGAAATCTGAGCAGAATATAAGTCTTTATGGATGGTGAGACCGGTTTTCTTGTAGAGTCTTTCAAGCCTCTGGTTGGTAGCTTTCAAGGAGCGTAGGGCAGGGGTGAACCATGGAGCAGACCAGTAAAATATACAGAGCGGGATTTGATGGGAGCAAATGAATTAAGGATAGAAACCAGACCGTTATTGTACTGAATGACAAGATCATCGGGAGTAGAGGACAAATTAGGGGTCAAGGTGGCAAAACTGGAGGACAGGGAGGCTAGATCAATGTCCTTAATATTACGAAAAGAAATGATACATGGTGACTTGATGATGGAGAGACGGAGGGGAACAGAAAAGGAGATGAGGAAGTGGTCCGTGCAAGGGAGCGGGTCAGCTGTACAGTTGGAGGGGGTCAGGCCGGAGCAGCAGATTAAATCCAGGGTGTGACCTTTAATGTGAGTGGGAAAATTGGCATATTGATGAAAACTGAGGCTGTCCAAAGATGAGGAGAAGTCTTTGCTGAGGGGGAGGGCCATATTGTCCATATGAATATTAAAATGAATCAGATGATGTTAGGGAATTGAAGTTCAAAGATATTTTTCTATAATTTTGGTTTAATTTGAAATAATTTATCAAAATGGTTTAAAAAAACACTTCAAAACTGCTCTCTGGTACACACTAAGCACAAGAACACAAAAGGTCACAAAAACAACAAAGGAAAGTGGTTTTACACAGGTGTTCAGTAAAAAATTAAGTTTGTAAAGGAGTCTTAAGTAATATAATAATTTAATTTGTATCACTTAGGCCCGGTTCCCCCTTCTGACACTTTTAAAGGTGTGGATCACTGAAAAAAATTAGAGTTTTTCATGCAGGCTGAACATGGGAATAGTTTCCTACATTAGCTTGTGATGGAAAATAGACGGTGAAACATTAGGATTTGAAAAGCCAGACAGTCACTTAAGATTCATGGACTCACCCCTATTGGCTCACAAGGCTGTTTTTGGTTTAGCATCCAGAAAATAGCATAGAATGTCACAGCTAGTAGAAGGTAACCGTTAGCATTAGCAACTCTACCACACAGCAGAACTCCTCCAGGCTTGAGTTTTTTGTAGAGATAAAACATCAATGTTAAAGAGCAAACAGTCAGTGATAGGGTTGCGCTGCTGTTAGCCAATCTGTGGCAAGATGTTCAAATATCAGGAAATAAGACTCCAAATCCTGCCGTCTGAAGCTACTTTCTCCTCCAGCTGACTTGTACTTTCTGAAACAGGTGCATCTGAGATGTTTCCCCCTCCAATATGTCTTACACATTTTTACTAGAGACCACTGTAAATGTATTGACTAAAAACGAGTGAGCCACACCTATAAGGACGACCCTGATCACCATAATGACTCTAAAGATGATCTTATTAGATATTCTTGTCATGTGAGGTGTATTAAGACTGGCTTGGAAGAACGTCTGTAGTGCTTTGATCATAAATCGGAATATTCAACATATTGAATGGCTTTGGCCTGCCATCAGAGTGTTTGTGGTTTGTCCCGAGGACAAACAAGCAAAAGCGATGCAAGGTGATAAAAGCACTCCCTACAGAGCGAGGGTGATGATCCTCTGCCACCGTGTTTATTTACTATGATGTCAAGTTTGATCTTGTGAGGTTTTGCAAGACGTGCTGTCGCATCTGGGAATGCTCATGAGTAAAATCTGCTTGTGTGTGGTGAGTTGTCTTCACTGTATGGCCACACAGTGCTGTAGAACCAAAATGATTTTATATCACCACATGTGGGTCTCGTGTTTTGAAAATGATCCAACACTTTTAAAATCCTGCCATAAGAACCAGACCCAAGTATCATTATGGTAAAACAAATCCCCATAATTTAGGGACAATACTTGATACAAAGAAGAGACGTAGGGGGTTCACCAGAGTTTGTTGTGGCTGGATCTTTCTTAGATGACTGACTTGATGAAGGCCTCCTCTGAGACTCCTCACTGAAACCACATCCCTCTGGTCTCTTCACACGACCTGCCTTCAGCTTCTCCTCCACCTTATTCATGCCTGAAAGTTCACAAACACACACAAGCACACACAACAAAAGCCATGGCAGTAATAATTAATGCCATGAGGTTTGTTTAAAGTAAATTAAGCAGAGAGGAGCAAAAGGTCAAATATGATATGGATTTTTTTTTACCCTGCACTGGATTAGAGACAGACTGCAAGAGAGCAGTTGTGATTTTTTTTTTTGATGTGTGATAATAAATAGTTTACAGTCTGAATATGCTACATGAGTCACAGAACATTTTCAGCATATCAATGAGACAAAAAGGGAAAGAGGCTGCTTAAAGCTCTGTATGTGTGATTTGTGCTTGGCGTGTGACTCACTGTTTCATATAGCCAGAAATGAAGCATCTCAGCGGTTGCCATATTAACAGTGTCAAAAGACTAGCCCCATTGATCAGCGGCAATAGGCAGCAGGCACAGTCTCACACAGAACTAATCACATAATACATCTCTTCTGAACAAGAAACCAGCATGAAGTTGCATAGAAACAGCAGTACGCTCGTTTTTCTGAGAATCCCATTATTAAGTAAAGCAGTAAAGGATTCCTCAGGTATAATGTAATCAGACTTCAATCAGCAGCCACATTAAATAAAAAATAAGTTTAATTTTCAGTTAACACTTCACCAACAAGAGGGGGTTGTTTTTATTATTAACAGCAGATGTGTACCTTTCAATCCAAATGTTCCAGATATGGACGGCTGTTCTCCTGTGAATTTTTTAGGAGTTTTCTGCTTCCGCCCTGGTTCAGAAATAAAAGAAACAGTGGAGTGGTCATTCTGTGCCTTCAGCAGAAGCACCTACCAGAAATGTGGCATCTACAACAGAGAGTGGTCAGTAATCTTACGGTGCTTCATTCTCTCTGGGTCTTCATCAGGAAAGGAAGAGGGGAGACTGCCTCCCTCACTTTCACTTCCTCCTGCGTCGGACGATGTGCTTTGGGACTGTGACTGAGACTGAACCGGCTGATGAATCTGTTGTGACGGCTGGCTTTGGCTGTGCTGTCTCCTCTCGCTCCTCTGATGAGCCACTTCTCCATTCTGAGACGGCGTGGATGCCTCGTGAGTCTTTTTCACTTTGAAGAACACTGGAGAGGGGGGGCTGCTCTCCATGGGCCTGAACTCACACACAGGTAGGACAATTTCAGGCAGTCAGCATTATAACATCACAGCCACCATTAGAGTTGTTTCATTGTGGGCGGGAATCCCAATCACCTTTTCTTTGTGTTGAACTTGACAGGAATCGTGTGAAGCTTGGGCGGCTCCTCCTTGGGTTCCTTACTAACTTTATCTGGGTGGTTCCACAGCTTGTGCTTTTCCAGCCGGACTTTAGAGGCAAACACTGCCTCGCAGTAAGGACAGCCATGACTCAGCACCTCAGCTACAGTGGGCTGATACAGACATGAGAAGAATGGAAAATGCTTTTATGGTAGCATCACAGATTCTCTGGAATCAGAATGAACTGAAGTGACCTCTACTTTATTTATCGGGGAATTCCCAAACAGTGATTTAGTTTTAAGGCATAAAAGCAGAAACAGTAAAGCATGGACTCACCCCCTGGCAGCGTTGATAGTGGTACTTGATGCCATAGATGGTGGGGAACTCTAACCGACAGCCTGAACACGGACATTTAACCCTGGAGCGGCGCTTAAACTCTTCCTTCCACTGAACTATCAAATGAGCCTGTTCAGGGGAGAGGAGGAGAGGTAAACATGTGCAGGTTCTGTTGCTATATTGTGTTTTATATTATTACATAATAACGGTGATTTGTGTTCTGTGTGTGAGTGATAAGGTCCACCTGAAGCACACAACGGTTTTGAAACAGAGGTACTCACAGGGATGCTTCTCAGTTCCTGCGTGTCTGTTTTTGGCCGACCTTTCTTCTTCCCCTCGGCTTGATCGTCACACACTGGGTCTGAAATGAGAACCAAAACCCTCAAACTCAGACAGAGAGAGAGTTCAGCTATTGTTTACACAGTACACAAGCTGCTATGAATATAAAACATTATCTGTGCCTTTGCTCTTTTATTTTACACATATCTTTATGATTTTATTTTGAAAAACGGCACTGTAGCCTAGAAAACACCAATACTGCCTCACCTTTTTAGTTTTGTGGAGAATTGCTGCACAAAACAAATTAATTACCCCCCCCCCCCCCCCCCCCCACCCCATAAAAGAGGTTGACCTTTGAGGTGCTGTGTCGAATATGGAATTACAACAATATTAGGCTTCAGGAAATATTGACTGTGTGTGTGTGTGTGTGTCAAGTAAAATATTTCATTGAACACTTGGCAGATTCTAATGAAACTTCAAAAATAAATCTGTGCACAAATGATTTCCTGCTGGAGCCCCCTGGTTTAAGATTGGTGCTGCAGCTAAATGACATAGGCAAAAAAAAAAAAACTACCAATCTGACTGTAGTTGTGATGTGATGTCATCCACAATCCACAACACACTCTGACAGCTACGAGATCAGCAAAATCTCACAATATCTTTAGCATAGAAATCAAGAACAACCAGAGCAGTAGCAGGTCAGTCTAGCCCAGGGGTGGGCAATCCTGGTCCTTGAGGGACGCTAACCAGCAGGTTTTAGTTGTCTTTCTGCTTAACCATACCAGGTTTGATTCTGCTGGTGATTAACAGGCTGCTGCAGAGCCTAATGAGCTGCTGAACAGGATTCATCCAGCAATAAGGTGTGTTGGAGCAGGTAAACAACTAAAACCTGCTGGACTGCTGCCCTCGAGGACCAGGATTGCCCATTGTAGCAGGCCTGAGCAATTTTAGGTCAGGCCAATCACAGCCCTCTATGCTTGTAGAGAGACATTGGATGGGCTCTGCACCAGAGCAATGAGGAAAAACTACAAAGATGACGTCAGCTCAGCAATGGCACGCATTTGAAAGAGCTTTGATACCTACTCTGGACGACTGAGACTTGGGTCTTAAAAGACTCTTTTAGAAAACAATGCTGCCAAATAGCTGCAACGCGAAGCCAGCATCAGGATGCTTTAGGTCATTTATAAGTGGTCAGATTGTGGCGGTAATGTGGCGCAATCATGTCTTTTTTACAAAAGATTACATAGTGGCAGTAAAAAGGGGGTATGGGGGTTTATCTTGGACATAACTTGCTTTTTATTGTGATCGAAGCCGCGCTCATTAAGTTTTTTTAACAAGCCGCTCCTAAAGGTGTCTGTCCTCTACAGTCCCCGTGCAGTCTCTGGTGATCTGAGCTCCAGCTCTAATGGAAAGACACTCCTGGAGCTCCGCATCGCTACAGTTTACCATCTCATCTGATTCGGTTTACAAAAACAAAACTTACTGCCATGTTTACTTTCATTCTCAGTATAGTAGCCGGCAGGAGCTCGGCAGTAACTCCCCACATGATCAAGACACCTCCCTCTGTTGCACCAAGGCATAATATGCATTCACAAGTCAGGCGTTGCGGCAATATTACTACCAACAATGGCGGTGCGAATGCAGCAAAATTCCAGCAACGCCAAGCCGCCACAACGCATTCATAAAACACACCGTGGTGGCAGTATTACGCTGATTTGTCGGCAAGATCTGTCTTCTAAAAAGGGCTTTTGAGACAGGAGCAGATAGGTACTTAAATCTGTTTCTTCTTCTTCAAGTGTGTATGGTGAACTACCTCAATTACTGATTTCCATAGTGACGAATAAGTCACATTGTTTGTTGTTATGATTTGTCCTTGTGCTAGTGCGCACAGAGACAGTTTGAAAAGACAACCGTAGCTTCCAGCCTACAATCGAGCTCTATGAGTTGTGGCCAGACTATGTACAGATTTGTGATGGTTTACCAGGCTACAGTGTCTCATGAATTTGTGTATAATGTTAGAACTCTACAGCTTTGCAGCATAAGATGATCTTAGTTGAAACTCTGGCATGAGAGGCGATAGGTGAAACACATTCTTCAAGGAAATCCCGGCGTTTAATTTAACTTTGTTCCTCACACAGTGAGCAAAATGTAAACCCAACTTTAGCAAAACACATATGTAATAATAAAGAAGTAAGCATTTTGACAATTTTAAACATTTCTGTGATCTATTCATATTCTATAGATTTCCAGTACACCCAAGAAAAATAACCAAGATCGTGGAGAAAACAATCACAGTAAATAATATCAGAAGTCAACGTTACATGAGTGTGTTCCTGTGCGTGCAATGAGAGAAAAGGACAGCGCTAAGGGTAGAGGATATTAGTGACTGGAGTGTGTGTGAACCTCTGACACAGCAGACTGCAGATTGATTGCCTCAGCTGTCTTCCTTCACCTCTCATATTATCTGCTTTGCTCCTTTCTCACCACCTGACTAACTTTCTCACTTTCCTGGCCCTTTCTCTTCGCTCATCCTTGCTCATCTTTCACCGTGGTTCCACCAGCTCATTACAGCTCTCCTCTGTTCCACAATTAGACCCCCATACTCTCTTTTCTCAATGCACTGCCACTCAAGTGAGGAAGGAAATAAAGATGAAGAGTGTAGAGTGTGTGTGGGAGAGAGTGTTAGCTGGTGGAATGTGGTGAAAAGGAAGAAGAGGGCAAAGGAGGAGAGTTTGCGGGGGTATTTTAGAGGATTAGGATTCTGACCTAGTGCTGAATGGCAGCACTGCAGGTAACTCTGCTCTGCAGACGTATGAGCCTTTATGCTCTGTTCTCTACTGCATGGATCAAACAAGACCAAATATCAGCAGCAGACTAAGTAAAGTGAAAGCAGCTTGTAACATAACAGAAGCGATCTACCTGCGAGCTTCCTCCCAACTGGAAGTGTTTCAGAAGTGAAACGTGAGTGATCCCAGCAACAAAGTCACAAAATCACAGAAAAGTCTTCTTCCAACTCTTGGAGAGTACAGACACTTTTTTCTCCTCCCCCTCCCTCCTTATCCCAAGGCTCTCTGTCCTGTCTTGTGTGCACGGCGCTTTCTGCATTTTTTCTGGAAACTGGAAATTATTAAAAATGGATCTGGTCAGTTGGACTCTCAACGCGATTGACAAAATTTTTTCAACGATGGGAACAGGAGAAGGGGTTCCCGGATGCCCCTCTGGGACAGAGCCAACAGGGCATATCATGGACTCCTGGGAAAAGTGGAACCTGATATGCCTCTCTCAACTGTCTGTAGAGGATTCCGAAGATGTTTGGATATTCGTCGTGTTGGTGTCGGGATTCCTGCTGTTTGGCATGAGCGGTTACCTGGCTTTCGAGGAATATTGGCTCAATCCCGGAGCTCAGGGATGGGATGCATCGTGCTGTGAACGCACAAACTCGTATAATTGTCAAGATGAGTCATAAGCTTGGAACTTTGGCTGAGATTCAGACTCTGGCACAAAAGGTGGATACCATCAAGGAGCGAGTGGACGGATCAACACGAATTGGGATGGATTAATTACGCCATTATTGGATCTAGAGGGGTTGAAGACCAGCAGAACACTAAGGCAGAGAGGAAATTATCTCTGTCTGTCCCCAAAACAATTTTTATCTGAATCTGGTGATAACTCCCCCCTCAGAAGAAATGTGGAATGCTGCCGTCGCTATGGAAACTCTTTCTCCCTATCCCAGCCTGGGCGGGACTGTGACCGGTGAAGGCAGTGGAACCGTATCTAGGAGTCACTGTGCTCTCTAACCTATTATCTCCCTCCCCTGTCCAAACGGAGGTGTTGAGCGCTGCCCCATGCGGCTGCACGCACTGAAGTGAGGAGAGTCCCAACCCTACCTCCCCCACCTAATGGACATTTATGTTGTGTAATGTCTGAAGTCTGTGTGCATATCTGTCTGAGGTGTGTTTTTTTTTTGCATAGCAAAGCTGCCCTCTCTGTGGAGGGTAACTCTGAAGTGCCTTTTTTTTTCCCTCCCCCTGACTCTATCCTCTTATAAACCATCTAATTTCCCTCTGGGATTAATAAAGTATCTTTGATTTGATTGATCTATTACGGTAACGTGACTCGGGTTGCAAGTGACCACAGTCACCAATTCTTGTCATGTGTCTATGTATGTATGTCTGATCTCAGAACTGTGTGTACTGAAACTCTAATTTCCCTCTGGGATTAATAAAGTATTTTTGAATTTGAATTTGAAAATGCAAAACCACGCTTCCACACAATAACAAGCAAGGACAAAGACAGCTGCATGTACCCAAAAAGGTCTGTGGTTTATTTTATGTTCTGTTTACATTGGCTACAGGGGTTTCCCAGGAAGTGACATACATTTTTCAGCACTTGTCTTTTATTTAGAAAGTTTTCAGAAGTTTTACACTACTTTTGCGATTGACTTCCTGTCTGGCCAAATCTAAACTGCGGAATGTTACGTCTTTTGGAAGTGTAGTGCTTAAAATTAGACTAGAAATTTCATGATAGCATCCCTTCGAATCTGAGGCGCGTCCAAAATGTTATACTTTGCTGGCAGTGGAAAGAAACCTGTCCACTATAATGGTGGTTAATTGCCGTGAAGTATGTTTCACGGCCGTTTTGCAATGCCTTCACATCTATAGGAAAGGAGTCTTAAACCCGGCTTTCCACCAGACATGAAAACGACGTATAAAAAAATAGAGGTATTTACCTGTGAGCTCCCTTCCAACAGGGAGGGATTCTGCCACGAAACGTGAGCAAAAGCATTCCACGCAGTTGGTCCCTCAAAGACGCAAAATCACGGGAGAATTGCAACACCACGTTTGATTCCAGAAGTCTACACAATAACATGCAAAGAGAAAGACAGCTGCATGTATCCAAAAAGGTTTGTGGTTCATTTTCTGTTATGGTTACATTTGCTAGAGAGGTTTCACAGGAACGCATGTTTATCTGCATGTGACTATTATTTTGAAAGTTTCCGGATGTTTTACACTGTTCCGCGTTTGACTTTCTGTCTGGCTTGATCTAAACTTTGGAGTTTGACATGCTTTGGAAGCGTAGAGTGTAGAAAATAGACTAGAAACGTCCCTACGCTTCTGGGATGTGTACGAAACATTACACTTTGCTGCCGGTGGAAAGGAATTCATCCACTATAATGGCGGGCGGCTAATTGCTGCGAAGGTTTAGCAGCAATTTTGTGATGCTTTCTTTTCTAGTGGAAAGCCAGGGTTAGACAAAGACGGTTGGAAAAGTCATGTTGTATTAAGAAAACATCAAAGGTTTAGATCCAACTATTTTATGTAGTTTGTTGTGAGGTGGTGAGCTTTAGCTTTATTCTCAGTTTGTCTGTGAAGGACACAGCCCTTGTGACGATCATTTGACACATCCCAAACCAGATCTGAGCCCTTTGCAAGTGTGTACCCTTTGCAGGTCGGATCAATGTTTAACAGACTTTTTTGGATTCTCCATCTAACGGTTCACGAGAATAAACAAATGAAGTAAGGAAACGAGCAAACTTCAGCTTAAAAAGTGATGTCAGAGAAACCTGTCAGTGCATTAACTTTACATTCTTCACTAATTTCCCCTTTTTTCTCACTCAGGGGCAGACGCAAACACGATATGATGTTTCATTTGTTATCTCTCTCTCTCCAGGCCTACAATAATACATTAGAAAGAAAAAGTATTCCAAGTCTCAGTAAGATGTAATAAGAAGCAGCACAACGTTACTGGTTTGCTTTCCCAAATAACTCATGACACTAGGTGTAAAATGCACACATAAAAGCACACACTGCTGCACAAACAACTACACAAAACCATTATCCATGTGTGTGTGTGTGTGTGTGTTGATGAGTGCATTAATATTCTCCAGGCAACAGAGCATTTCTCTATTAGCTTGGTAGCAGCTGGAGAGATGATGCAGTTGGTGAAGCTGCTCTTTTACGGTGAATGAAAGTAAGCGTGTTTTCTTATTCCTGCCTTAAAAAATAAAAACATTGTAAAAAAATATAATTAATGAATTTTGCTCTTGGGAATGATACGATCTGGTTGCTATGGGAATAAGCTCTACTTGTCTTAGCTATCACTATCAGAGGACTCGTTACTGGAAGCAAGGATGAAAACATCCCACATTCAGAGGGGGTTACATTGCAAATAGGCCAAGGCAGCAACACTTTTCATCATACTACATATACATCATCAATCATTCTTCGTTTTGGAGTAAATTATGCAAACATGTTATGTCAATTTTTTGGGGTTGCATGAAAATATGCATAAGTCTCTGTCTCATATGTTCCTCTAATCTCGTGCCTCGTCTTGGTATGAAACAAAGCAGCTCCATTGTGTTGAATCTAAACCCAGCTCTCAGGCACAGGCCATGGGGATAAAACAGCTGTTCAGCTAATGTCACCGAGTGTGACTCGCTCCCAGCTGCCTGCAACTGTTGCTCCTCACAGTTCAACACCAAAAGGAGCAGGAGAAGAAAAAGAAGAGAAGAGTTAGGACCCAGTAGTGCTGGCAGCTGTCTAATGATCTCAAATAACCTCTGAGCTCTCCTAGCTACGCCTGCAACTGCTCTCCCTTAGTGCAGAGGGTTCACACGTTACACCCCCACCCCCCCACACACACAGCAGTCATTTGTTTTCCTTGACAAACACTCACACAGAAGCCTTTGTCTGCATCTGCACTGTGGTTTTCAGACCTTCTGTAGCTCAGAAAAACAACAAAAGTAAACAAACAACATTTACCGCTGACTCATGCTTTTGTAAAACACAGTAATGGTGTCACAACTACCTCGACAGACTAAACAGAGAGAAACGTATACACCTGCACTGAGTACTGAACAATCCCACTGATGGTATGTTTTTGGTGCATTGTGGTTTTGCATTAGCTTTCTCTCATGTCACCACTGTCAGGCTTTTCTAGTACTTCCTATCTTCCCACATGCTTTTTTGTAGCTCGTACTCTCATTTCCTCCCTCTCTTTCTCTCGCTCACCCTTTCGCACACACTTTCTTCCCATCATATACGCACCTCCATGAAAAGACGTCCCCATCGTCCCTCCCTCCCAGTCGGGCCTGATTCCAGACTATGAAAATAACAGAAGTGAGGTGGAGCAGAACTAGAGGAGTCTGACGAGCTGAACACTGACGAACTGAAAGAGCGAGTCTGGTTTTTACACTCACACCAGTCTTTGTCTGCCCTCCCTCACTTTCATCTCCGTAACTGTAGAGCAAATCATTTACATTCACTTGTTGACATGCACACACACACGTCTCTGTTAACACTGTCTGTTTTAGGGATGTCTGATTTTAGCTCATTTCTGACACTTGATGATAAAAGCATAAAAAAGAAAAATAACACATGTATGATACATTTTCAACACATTTACTAACATTTTAAATGGTTGATCTATAGAAGCTATGCTTCTCCATATTGACCGATGCAGAGACACACAACTTACTTAGAGAGATCTTCACTGATATTTTACTTTACAGAGCAGAAATTTAACGTAATGTCACCACAGTGTTAGCCCAGCTGAGCAGCTCCAACACTGTTGTTTACAATTCTCTCTGCACTTTAGCAAATTAAGAGGAGCACACATGAAAGCATAGCGGGCGGCGAGCGTGGTAAGTTGTGAGCTACTGTAGACAGTGAATACGGAATAAACAGGACTACTTTGTTTATTTTTCCTTGCAACAATATTTTACTTACTGTAAGTATGTGGAAGAAAGAATAAGATGTGCTTAAAACAAAACTCCTCTTAGGTTTCTTACAACAAAATGTCACGTTCCCATAATAAGCAAAGGTCTATGAATATAGAGGTGGTGTCCAATGAGACAGAAAAACTAAAAACCACACTGCAGGTTTTAATAGAAGTGAATAATAGGTATTTAACGCTGAAAACCTAAGAATAGAGTTTTATGTGATCAAATTCCAGTTTCTTGTTGATGTAATTAGCCGTTAACAGATATTTTACAGCTAGACAGATGAATAGACAGCACAAGTTCAACCCAAACTAAAAAAGCACTCCATTGTAACGGGCTGTGGTATGTTTTTTTATGTAAATGAATGGGATCATTTACCTGACAAAACATTCCACAAATATTCTTTTTATTTCCAATTCAGTTATTTGATTGTGTGCCAAGGCATTTTATTCCTGTTGTCAAATACACAACATGTCATTACTAAACAAAATGTTATGGATTTACTTTTGAATCACTGAAGTAGACAGAGAGGCTTCGTCTATACAAACAAATTTCTATGCTTCAGGACGCTGCAGCATTGACAATTAAGTTGATTCTGATTCTGATCAACATTAAGTAAAGACCTAAAGGGAGACCCAGGACACATCGGAGGGACTATGTCTCTTGCCTGGCCAGGGAACACCTTGGGATTCCCCCAGAAGAGCTGGCCCAAGTGGCTGAGGAGAGGGAAGTCTGGGCTTCTCGACTTAGGATGCTGCCCCGCGACCTGACTCTGGATAAGTGGAGGAAAATGAATGAAGTCATTAGTGAAAAACGTGAAGGCCCTGCCTTTGTCACCAACAGGTATGGTGGGAGTGTTTTCAATCAGGTGCTTACTGGATTCACCCCCAGAGTTGCCAGTCTGCTCTAGAGGTATGGAAGGCTGGAGCACTCAGGTGACAGGTCAAAGTAAAAATATTTAATCAGTGCAAATAAAAATGGCATAACGTTTCGACGAACTCTGATGAAGATATCATTGTCGAAACGTTAGTTCATTTATTAGCAACGATTAAATATTTTACTTAGACGTGAATGCTCCAGCTTACTTCTTCAACCTCACAGTTGTTGGTCCTAGCTGTTGAGCACTGGTGTAGGTACCGGATCTGATCCGGCTGCCAGGTTGGTTCAGGGTCCTGCTCTAGCCGACGACGTCACACTAGAAGATTGCCTGAATGTAGGACTTACGGAAGTTACAACACCATGTTCGTAAAAGTTATGTTAGCATATTGACACTGAAGATTTTGACTGTCCAAACAAATTAGCAGTTGTAATTCTGCAGTCCAACAACAGACACTTGTTGGGGAAAAAATGTTTGTATTGCCAAAGGAAATGTAAAATAAAAGCAAAAATATCAACTGAAAAACGAAGACCCTCAGCAGCTCTTGATTTTGATGAACTGGGGCTAAATAAAAATAAAAGAACTTTACTGAACAAATAGAAAGCAACATTTAAAATTAGGGATGTCCTGTTCCGAAATTGATATAGGCTCAAAAACACTGTATCAGATAATATAGGACTGCATCAAAAGTCTCCGATATTAGCAGTACGTTTCACTTTAAATTCCATTCCAGCAATTCTATCCAGCAGCGCCCAAATCCAGCATGCAAAGTCCACGTGATTAGAACAGTGTGTGTGCTAGCAAAGTAGCAAGGAACAATGTTGGCCATGTGGCTGTATTTTTCGTTAAAATCTCAAAAAGACAGTTTCGCTCAGTGAAGCACTTGTCATGCACAAGTTTCCCATAGTGGAACAGAACTGGGGAAGGTTGATACGTCCAAACTCATTATGCATTTGAAGCCGGATCACAAAACATTGCATGAGGATTTTCACAGTGTGAAATTGATACTTCAGACACTCAACTCGTAGCAGTTGGTCAGTGAACAATAGGATATCATATCGGGTTGATATTGGTATTGTACAACACTGAAGGTTACAATATTGGTATCGTATCGGAAGTGAAAAAAGGTGTATTGGGACATCCCTATTTAACGTGAATAAATGGATTTATTTACATAATAAGTTACAAAATATACTGAATAATTCCACATTTACACAAATGGAAATGGCTGCTAATTATGTAAATACATATATAAATATTCACATAGAAGAACTATTGTGCTTTTGGCACAGTCTAATGTTGGTTTAGTTTCACATTCTTTACAAAACATAAACAATGTTTTTTTTATTTTAACAAATTACAGTTATAAAGAAAACATTTAGGTGGTAAGAAACAAGAATTTCTGAACAAAACTGCTAAACTCTTTCCAAAACTTATGTTTGAAAGCCGAGTGGAACTGCCGTAGTCTGACGTCATCAGCAGGTGCAGGACCCCGAGGAGATCTGGTACCTTCATCGGTACTCACATGGATGAAGCACAGAGTGCTTGTTTACTCCTTCATTTACTCTAGAGGTATGTTGGTATGCTTAATCTGGTCATGTTTTTGTCAGTGACATTATCAGTCAGGTGACAATTACCAGCTTTCATTGTGGCCAATTTCCTTTTGTTGTTCTTTGTATTAGCATTACACAAACCAGAACTAAAAACTAACTGTTTAAGTAAAGAAATGTGTGCCTAAGGGTGTGTCAATAAAATGACTTAGAGAGAGAGATCCTCATCCTCTGACTAAAATGTTTAAAATGAAAAGCTAGCATTAGGTCGGCAAGTGGGCGAATAAAAATCTACTTTTATTGCTTTGCTTAAACCACTGAGGCCAGGACTTACTCCCCAGAGCTAACATCAGTTCAATACAACAACTAAACCACATATAAAGCATCTCAATCGAGAAAAAGAGGGCAGTCGCTACATATGTGCACAATCAAGATGGTGATGCTGATGTGCTAGCTAAACTGGCAGCAGAGCAAACCAATGTTTTTACGAGTAAGGCTGGCTAAAGCATACGCAGATCATGCTAGGGTTAATAGCTGCTGCATAGCTTGTATATGTACACAAATGCATGTGTTTATGCAACAGGCCATACAGTCCTTCACATGAAAGCCAGACAGACATTGCATGCTCCAGACTGTTTGCTGCTCCCTCCTTATGGAAAATGACTCACCAGCTCAGTCTCTCACTGCTTACCCATCTCTCTCTGCTCCTTTTCGTCTGCTATCCTATAACCTGACAAATAGGAGGTATGACAAAAGATCCAGTTCAAAGCCAGATGTAGCGCTGGGCTGAACAAAGAACCAGGATTCAATTTCAACTCAAATCACTCGACAATCAATATCTGGTGAATGACAGAATAGGAGGACAGCAGGGATAGTGAGTTTTGAGTCACTAATGTTGATAGGACTGCATGAAAAGTGAAATAAGAGAGATGAGTAGTTAGAAGGAGAAATAGCCTACATAGAACAAATTGACAATTATGCATGGAGAATCGGATAAGTAACAAATGAGAGGAGGTTAAGTACACGGGGAGGAGAAGCCCGAGGCTGATGCAAATATAGGCAAATGTGTAGGTTCAGCAGATGGCAGCTGTAGGACTGGAATAAGGGTCCTGATGTCAGAAGAGACTCAACTCAGAACACAAATGACAGCTTGAACATACAGATTAGCATTTGGCTAAGGCATGAGCTATTGTGACTTTTGTAGCATCAGGTGCGATAGTACAAGTTAGCTTTTCTTAGACATTGATATGCGACATAAGGAGTTGCAGCCTCAACCACTCATTGCTCTTGTGACCCAGCTCATCAGCCGGCTTACTGGAACCTGGAACTTCAATTCAATTCAATTCAATTCAAAGATACTTTAATTCCAGAGGGAAAGCCAGAACAAATGTTATATTTTCATATTGTGACACTTTAGCAAACTTTGTACGGAGAGACTAAAAGAGACTATGTAAGTCACAACAATCATATACGTAGACACCCCATGGACCGGTGCCGTATTGGGGCTGCCGTAGTGGCTGGCCGCCGTCTGGGATGGGTCTCCATTTGCCCCAAGTGCATTTTTTTCTACTGAGGAACACATTTCATAATGCTTTCTCACAAAATCAAACACATTGTATGATAATAACAATATACATATAATTAAACGAAATAAATACAAATATAAAATACCAAAAGGTAGGCTGGAAATGTCAATAGTATGCCGGTTATTGCAACCATAGGCTGCACAAAAACATGCATAGTTGCTCACCCTGCATTGACTCCAGTTGGGTTCGGAGTGTGAGAAACCCATTAAATATAGCGGCGACACTGTTATGCTCTCCAGCTCCCAATAGGACGTCTACGTATTCATGTCTAAGGTATAAGTACTGACACTTTTACCATTCACTGCATACCTGAGTGACAAAGGTGTGTCTTTAAGAGAGAGAGAGGCTTAGTTCAAAAAAGACTTGTCTGACAGGATTAATTTGTGGAAGCTACTGATATCTAATCCTGAGTGGGCAGAAGTAACTCAGAATACCAGCATTTAGCTCAAATCACACACAGATGTTATGCAAACAAAATAATGACTTCCAATGCCTATTAAAAAATAATTGACTGAATAAATTAAACAAACTCACTAAAGCGCCTAGTATTCTGTGCCTGATAAAATAATCAAGCATGAGCACAGTAAGGGACAATAATGTTAGATTTATTGTAAGGAAGTAAAAGAAAAATTGCTTCATCATTGTAGCTGTTTTCATATTAGCACAGGCGTTCAGAATGTTTCACACATATTTCTGAGTTGTTTGCAAGCAAACATTTGCTTCTAACTTTTGCTGAAATGACCCAGCAGATGTAGAGCATGCATGTATTTGTAATGTCTGTAACCAGTTAAAGTGCATTTTAATAGGACTTGTTTTCTCAACATGATTTTCTGCAAACGGTTTGACACCTTTTGCTAAACTGACGATTCTGCAAATGCAGCTGTGCACAAGAATGATTACTATCAACTTCAAAACCACCAACATGACTGAGTTAGTACCACCCAATATGACTAAATCTTACTTTATTGTGAACCCATGCTAACCAAGCCACTCAACTGGCCCTTCTCAGGTAGGAATAAACAGATAAAACACCAACAAAATCCACAAACTTTAGCTACCTTTGGGAAAAACCATCTCTGGTATGGTATTGGGCCTTTCAGCACCCTTGATCCAGTGCAATAAAAAACAGAATATTGATGGGTTCCAAATTTAGTGGTAGCTTTTTGACCAAGTAGATGAAGCAGCAGTCTTGATAACAATCTGTTCAGTGAGAGTCAGAAAAAAAAAACAAGGATTATCATGACAGCTGTCATGAACGCAAATGAGTGTGAGAGGTACTTTAAATGTAATCATCACACAAAGAACACCACATTTTCAGCCAAAATAATGTGTTGTGATGATAATGTGCATTAATATTTAGAGAAACAAGTCTTGTATGAGTGATAGCTTAAAGAATGTTACATAAATGTTTACTTTTCTCCACTTTTAAAAGTGATAAATCAGTGAGGTGGAATTTAATAATATAAAATTAAACAGAAAAAGGTCTTAAAGGAAGAAAAACACAAAGACAGCCTCAAGCACTTCATCTTCCCTGAGATTTGTATGTTGTGGCAAGAGTAAAGCGCAACCACACCGCCTTAGACACAGCCCAATATTCAGGTGTTGTTTTCTTATTTTACAGCGTGGAGGGGTTCAAAAAAACCCAAGGACAATGAAGATCAACTCAGACAGAAATTACAGAGATGTATCACCAGAACAAGATGTGAAAAAAATAGGAAGTAACAATCCAAACTGGAGGTGGGAAAAAGCTAAAGTGAAGATGAATTATTGTAGCAATTAAAACATAATAATTATGACCAATAAGATGTGATGATTCCATATAAATATGAAATATCTATCTGATTGATCTTTGAATGTTTAATCATAAGATTCTAGGGTTCTTTGCTTCTTCAGGGACCATAAACACACTTTGTATTAATTCAGACAGAGTCAGTTTATAGTTTATAAAATGAA